AATGATCTATTAAAAATATCAATGAATAAAATATGAAATTTTTACTAATGAAAATCATTTCAAGCATTTAGACTTTTTTATATATTTTAAAATTAAGTAAATTTTATTGTTAAAAACATAATTATTATTATTTATATAAAAAACTTTGCTTGCCTTTTTCTCATAGGGGCAACCCCAAGAAAGTAGAGTTGGCCCCTGTTTTAACTCAGTATTCTAAAGAAGGGAGGCTTGGAAAACACTTGGCATCTTTTGCGAAGAGTCACAAAACAACTTTTGTCAGAAAAGCCACTGTTGGATTCCCACTCCAAGCAAAGGAAGGAAAGGACTTGCTTCTTCCATCACCACCTTTTTTCTCCTCTCTTGCTTTTTGCCCAAGTTCTCATCATCCTCCAACAATGGGGGCCAAGGCATCTTTAAGACTTGCTCTACTCTCACCTCGTCTATGACTTGTGCATCTCTGCATATGGAATGATAGACAGTGATGGGCGTAATTTATCCCACTCAGGATATTCACTCCCCAAAAACCAATGAATTTTTCTCTGACTCTTATCAGGCAAGTTCATTCACTCTGACTCAACCATTGACTTTATAATATTATAGAGGATTTCCTAGGTAGACGAGTCCCCAGAGGTGGCAAGGAATAAGGAATGAGCACTTCCTGCAAGGACTTTGTTGTCAACTGATATCCATTCTTCAATTCTGACAGATTGCTCACATGCCAAAGTTCACTAACACAAGGTAATCTGTCCAGGAAATCGTATCATAATGTAAGGTCGTGGTCCTGGTCTATCCTGGTCCCATTTACATCGAAGGGCTCCATTGCTGATGTTGTCATGATTTTTCTTTTATTTATCCTAATTATTTGGATTTTGTAAATATTTATTTTGGTCAATTCTTATTCTCTAAAAATTTATTTTACATCATAATATTATATAAAAAATAATAAAAACAATCATTATAAATGAAGTACTATTTTAGACAGAACAATTAAAATAAATAAAATATTATTTCATGTGAAAATATTAGAATAAGTAAAGCATTACTTCATATAAAATAACTAAAACAAATAGAGCAATTGTTTCGTATAGAATAATCATTTAACGTAAATGACAGTGAAAGCAACCTAGAATAAATGACACAGTTTACATAGGTTATTTTCATTTCAAAATATTTGAGAAAGTTTGGTTTGATAGATCAAATGTGAAAGTAGTTAAAAAATCTTCCTCCTAATTACTTTTTTTTGAAGTACAAGTGTTTTCTCTTCTTAGCTTGTTTTCGTGTACATGTTGATATACATTTTCTTGTTTTGTACTTATTCACGTACGGCTTCTTCGCTTGTACCTTTTCATGTATATTTCTTCTCTGTTACCTTCTACTTAAAAACAAGTTTTATTACACTTAATTATTTCAATAGTCACATAATAAGTTTCTAACCATTACTTGATGTTAGCTTTCAATAACGGTTAGACAACATTAAAGCTCTTAATAATATCATTCATTACGTATTTTTATAATTGTCATTTTTAGTACTATATATATAGCTTTCACAAGTCATTCAAGCTCTTCTCTTCCTTCTAGAGTTAATATATTCTCCTCTAGAGTCTCTTTCTCTAATTTTTTTCTTTTTTTTCTTTTATCTGTCGCAATATTTAGTATTTTAAGAACTATGGTGATCTTCCTCTCTGCTGTCTCCAACGCATTCATTTACTTGTTTGAAACACTTCCTCTCTTTATCACAAGAAATCCTTTACATATTTTAATTTAAAATTTAAAAATTTAGAACATTGTTAAAATCAATTTACGAAATTTGAAAGTATATCAACTGAGGATTGATACAAATAGTCAATTTGTTTGTCTAAAATTCGAATATCAATAATTTTTTATAAATTCGAATTCTTATTTAAAAGGTCGAAAAAAACCTATTTATCTCGAATATTTTCTTAAGAAAATAAAAATAAAAATCCGAAGGTATGAATTGAACATGAATTGAGTCTTGATTTCTCATCTGTCTGGTGAAGTAGGGTAAACAGCGGGTCCTTGAGGATGTTGGACCTCATATCCGTAAGGGAAACTTGGCTCGGTCTGCACCCTGATTGGGATCTCGCTTCTTAGTCACGGTTTGGAGATTAAACATTACACAACGCTGCCAGAGAAGAAAACGACTCATAAGGGCAAATTTCTGTGCTGTTCGTTTGTTTTGTTCATGTTTGAGAATCACATGCTACTTGGTGTTGCATAGACCTGAATTTCCGATTACTTCTTTATTGTTTAAGTGAAATGGAGACAACTTTTGGTTGATCTACTTAGTCTTAATTTTATTAAAAAAAATGATGACATCTTTAATATATAAATATAATAAGAATCTCTACAATTATTACCAATTGGTTTTAGATCAAATATTTATATAAATTTTAACAGGACATGAGAACAGATGATGTTTTTATTCATTGATTACTCTGTGAAAGCTTGAGGATAAAGCAAAAAGGTGTCTTTATTCAATCCATGCCAAAATTCCATCCTCAGCATATTCCAATATCATCCTCCTAATTTTCTCAGCAACCATAGACCACTAGGATCTCTTATGAGAATGTCCTTATAGAAACATTGGTCATCTTATCTCTTTGATAGAGCTTTTTTCTATTTTATTGGTTGGGCCAAATACTTTTTGATGAAGTCAATGTCTACCATATCAAACAATCAAGCAGTGGACATCCCAGAAAGAAGTACAAGATTCCTGCATTGAATTTCAGAAGCTGACACTTTATCAATACATTGGGTGGATAAGAGATTTCCAATTCTCTCAAGCACAAGGCACCATCTCAAACATTGCATTATATTTGGGATTAGAGACATGGAAATGTTCAAAATGGGAGTATCTCAAGTAGTCCAATTCAATTATTTTATTTAACCAATAATATTGTAGTTGTAGGGTAGATGGTGGATGGCATGCCCTCAGAAAACCAAAGTGCAAAGCAAACATCTTGTCAAGAGTGTTTCCCAACCAATCCCAAATTGATCTTACCATTAAATTATTAGCAACAAAAGAGGGACCCTTTGAATAATTTAAGACCCAAATTGGAGCAGTTCAATTTTGTATCAAGCCAATCTAGATATTCAAATGAGCAGGTTCTCCCTAGTAACAAATATATAGGTATTGGAGCAGTTTCAATTTAAAATCAGGAAAATGTGTGGGAATTTGATATGAATTATGACAGATTTAACATTATTGATTAGAAGATTTGCATCATATTATTGTTGATTTAAGTATTACATGGACTTATATGCCAAGTGGAAGTGTGTGTGTTTGAAAATTTCTTCACCATTTGAAGAAATAGGGTAGGTGGGTGGTTTATTTCAATTGATGCAAACACTTTATGCCCACGTCTGCTCTTCAATGATTAATTGGTTTTAAATCATGGAGATTATTATTAACTTGGGGTTTTGTTGTTTTGGCCTAAATCACTTCATTGCAGCATGTACTTACAATAAATGGAGTGGCTTTTCCCCTCATTGCTTAAGGCAGACATCCTAATGACATGAACTTATATGAATTGTATCTGGAGAAATGATTAAGGTCGAGATGATGGGGTTTAAGACTGAGACAAATTCAAATGAAGAATCAAGTAACCTTGAACATTATGTTGCTTTACCACTTTGATTAGAGCGAATTCAAATTCTAATATTGACATCAGAGATAAAGTCGACAAACGGGTTGTTATAAAACTTAAATTATTATGTTTGAATCGAAAATGTTTATCAAAATCTTATCTTATTTTTATCGCATGAGTTAAGTTAAAGTGAAACAAAAATCGAATTCATCGACGATTGATTCAAAACCTCATTAGTTTAAGTAAATTGAGTAGGACCACACTAGGTCACACCACATTTTTTTTGTAGGTCAGGTATGAGAATTCTTCCTACTATAGTACAAGCAGAATGAGCTTGATTATGCTTGAATACTTGAATTGTTTTCATTTGCTTCCTAAAATGGTTAGAATGATTAATCATTAACACATTGTAAAAGTAAGAGATAACACTGAGTTGCTCCAAAGCCCACATATGTATGACACATTGCCCTAATTGTAAGGAAAACCCCAATAGCTTCACCGCCACGTTTATAACTGGAAAACATGGTGAGGCACAAAGGGTTGAAAAATATGGTTCCTCTTTCTTATCTTAGCTTGAACTTTAACCCAAAGGTAAAAGATCAATGCCAAAATCTGTGATGTCATGGGTGAATGGTGGGAGGAAATGAGGTGAAAAAACTCAATCAAGCCTTTAAATTCGAACACCGAAAGGTAAAAAATATGACTTCAATAAAAGGGATTAGCTACCTAAAAGTTTCCAAATGTTTCAAGTTACTGACATGGATCAACTGTTCAAGATTAGGCATGACATGGCAGGGAAGAATTGTTCTTGAGTCTTGATACTTTATAATTTTTTTCCCCCTCCTAAAAAAGTGGTATGAGAGGATTATTAAAATAAAGAATAAATGGTTGTTTTGGTGGTTGAGATGGCAACCCCAAAAAAGTCAATCACAAAGGTGACTTCTCTTTTCTTTCCCATGGGGAGAGGATAACTTGCTGCATTATGTTTTCAAATTAATATATGTAATATTTAAAAAAAATTCAAATTATTTAAAAAATTTTAAATAAAGTTTTATGTTCAATTAAAATTTTATTTTTTTATATTTTTAAAATATTATTTATTATTTTATATCATGTAAAGTTAACGTAATATATTAACATGTTATAATAGATGATGATATAATATGTTAATGTAGCATAATGATATGATCATATGATATTTTTTAATTTAGTGTTACATTACTACCACGTAAATATAAAATGATAATTATTTTAACGAAACTTATTTAATTTAAAATAAAAAAAATAAAAATTTGATTAAATGTAGTAAAAAAATAAAAAATTATTTAAATTTATTAAATATTTTATAAGATTTTTTAAGATGATTTATCGGTAAGGAATGGGAATGGCAGTTTTTGTTTGTTATCTCTTTCATGGCCATCCATGCTTATGAATCCTAACATGGAAGCCCACAATTTGCTCGCACTGTTCCCATCATTTGCGCCGTGTGTATGATTTCTTTGGAAGGGTAAATTGTTTTTCTTTGCATCTGAATGAAGATAATCCTTTTGACAGCTTTCTCATGTTTAAACCTTTGTCCTTGATTCCAGCTATTCTACTTTCTCTTCTTTTATGCAACACTCCAAAGCTTCTCATGAACCTCTCTCTGCCCATTTTTTCTATCATAGTCTTCTGCCTTTGTTTGCCTGTTTTGTGTCTTTTTCTACCTCGAAACCAGCTAGCGTTTCCTCTGCTTCCTCTGTTTTCCCCGCAGAGAATAAAGAACATTCTGTCTCTGATCACTGAATTTTCTCGGAATATTTCATCCATAAATCTTTGCAAAAGAAAAGCTGCTGCTCTTTTGTCTTTTATGTTCCTCAAATCCACAGAATTCTAGTCATGCTCCTTTGTTGACTTGTTATGGTTCAACGAATCTTTGTCAATGTTTAAGACTTAAATGTTCTTCTTCGCCCACCATAGTTGAATCCTTTTTTACCTAGACCACTGAGTATTCCCATTCTTGAATTTCTCCAAGTCCTCCAAAATCCTCTTGACAAGCCCTTTTTTTGCTTGTATGTTTTGATTTCTGAGTGAGAAACCCACAAGTTGTTGTTGTCATCATGATGTGCTCGGAAACAAGTCCTAGGCTATCATTTTCGCGCGATCTAGGACAAGCAGATGATTTACCCATCGAACTCAATGAATCGAGAAGGGATACAATGCTTTTGGAGACATGTTCTGATTTTGAGTTCAATATCTGCAGCTTTGAGCAGCAATCTTCTCCAGCAGATGAGCTATTTGCAAATGGAATGATACTTCCTGTCAGGCTCCAAGAGAGACAAAGAGTCCAAATATGCGAACTCCCACCTCCCGTTTCGCTTCCTCCACGTCCGAAACCATCCACAGCTGGGGATTCGAAGAAAGACAGCATGCGCCAGATAAGGCCTGCCAGTTCTGAGTCGGAAGAGAAGCCACAGTCCAAGTCCTTTTGGGGTTTCAAGAGAAGTAGCAGTCTCAACCGTGATATTAAAAAGAGCTTAGTTTGCTCGTTACCACTTCTTTCTCGAAGCAATTCAACGGGCTCAGCTCCAAATCCTAAACGCTCTTCGATAAAGGATATTAACAAGCATACTTCGCAAAAGCTTTCAATGACAAAGTCATCATCCTCATCATCATCATCACCATCATCATGCTGTTCTAGTTGCAATGCTTATCAGTTTCCGCAGAAGCCTCCTTTGAAGAAAAACCCTGCGAATTCTTATGGCAGTGGTGTTCGAATCAGTCCTGTGTTAAATGTGCCACCACCTTACATCTCTAAAGGAACAGCAAATCTCTTTGGTTTAGGTTCTTTCTTACGCAATGGCAAAGACAAGAAGAGCAGGAAATGAATTTTTCAGTCCACAAATTTCAACCAAGACAAATCTGATTTTTTTTTTTTTAGACTGTTTAGATGATGCTGATTCCTTTGCTGATCCAAGTCATGTCAAACAACCTGGAAGATTGTATCAGACTCGACCAGACGGAATCTGAGAGAGATCTTAGTTGTACAGGACAAATACTATAATTCAAAAGAAGAAAGATTTTGGGAAGTATGTTCATGCACATCTCGAAATTGTCACAAGCTTAGGAGACAGGAAAACAGGTACCCTCTTCTCCTATGGCTTGTCAGGATCTGTTTATCTCTGTCTCTTTAGGCCTGAGCTTTACCCATTATTACGTAGATAAAGAGATTTGGTTTCTTTATCTTGATGAAAGATTTTCTTTTGTTTTTCTCTTTTGAGAGATTAAGATGAATGCAATGGTTTATAAGAAAAACAAATCTATAATTGAATGCTGCCTTTATGGATTTCTTGTTTGTATTAGCTTCAGCCACACTTATAATCTAATCATGGGCCATTTCTTTTGTTTGTTTGGAGCCCTGGCCCCTGGCCCTCTCTTTGTTTCTGTCCAGCAAATTGGCTTGGCAGATTGTGAGAATGGTGTTAGGCCAGGAACAAAGCATTTTTCACAGTACCCCATCATTTCCATAAAGTAGTGATTTCTTTGCTGGGGGATCAAGATTCAAGCCTCCTTTCCATCAACCAGAATCATAGAATTATTCATCTTTTTGGCAAAAATACTGCTCAGGGTGTCTACTTCAATGTACAGAAGCTAGGAAGTAATGAGTTGCGACAGAAATAAGCTTGGGAATTTGGACATCAATTACCTGTCGAGTTTCATGGCTTATTAGTAGCATTTATAGAGAGGCAAAAATGGCAAAAGTTGATTCAAAAATCTATGAAAGAGATCTAATGGTGCCTCCCGCTTTGTATCGTACTAGGCAAAGAGTATCTTACCTTTTATCTTGTAGATTTTGGAATCCAAATTTGAATATAAAAGTGTGGATTTATTTTAAAAAGTACTTTTATCATTGACTAATAGATGTACTTTCAAATAAATATGGGATTAATTTTTTTTAAATAAGATGAAACAGTGAAGAGGATCCTTACCCAAGTTACACAATGAGAGACGATTTTTTTTTTTCATTAATCCCGTTTTGTTCATTTCAAGATTTTGAATTCGAAACTTTAAGATTTAATTATTAAAATATTTTATTAAATTTATAAAATTTAAAAAAAAAACGACTTTGATTCTATAATTCAATATCATATGAAATTTTTTTAACACTAATAAATTTTGTTTTTGATTGTCGGTAAAATCGTCGAAACATATTTTTTATTAATTTTATATTAATATTTAAAAAATTAAAAAAATTATTTTCAAATAATGGAAAGAGTCAAAAGGGTTAATGGAGGATGTCATTGTCAAATAATAGAGGCATTGGTCACTTGGAACTTTTGTTGGCATGCTTTGAAGGTGTCTTTGAGCAGTAGCTGAATGTTTGCCTCCTTATGTCATCATCGTTGCATGTCTTGTTCCTTTCTGCTCAAGCAATCCCATTATTTCCTTCATCTCTCATTTATTTTATTTTTATTTTTTTGGTTTTTCTCCTTTGATAGTTTGAGTAAAAACAAATACATTTTTAGGATTTCATATTTTTAGTGGTGGAAAATTTTCAAGTAGTAAGTTGCATGACTAGCATGTGATGGTAAAAGATTATGTCTATTAGAAAAAAAATATAAGATTATTTATTAATTATTAAGAATTGTATCTTTTAAAAAGAGACCTATTTATAATCAAAATTAAATAAGAAATAAAGACATCGAAAAAAGCTTTACATGAAATAAAACACATAAAATTTTTTATAATCCAAACTAAATAATGATATTCTTCGATGATGTATGTCCGATAAATTAATTTTGTCAATTTAAACGTAATTATTGAATTTCATTATATTTTATCATTTAAAATTCTTTTATGCATTCATTAATTAAATGTTGAGATGAATTAAAAAAAATTAATAGAGTTTGGAGCCTTTCCTTAATATTTTTTAAGGTAAAAATGAACCTTGTGGTCTTTGGCTTTGTACCTTAGCATTGAAGTATGGGAAATAATTTACTGCCGACACAATATCATCAAGGTGCTTACGAAACTATGGCGTATGGTATGCTTTTGCTTGGGTTGATAGTAATTGACAGTGGAATCATACCAAGAAGATGAAAACAAACATTATTCATAATTGTTGTTGATCGTGGCTGTCGAAGTTGACCGGTTGAGTTCCTGCAACGAAACGAGGTCAGGCTGTCCTGACCCGAGACGTGTGGCAGGTCCAGGCATGACCAGGGGTCCTAGGAGGAGCCTTCAGGTAAGGTGGCTCCAGCCACAAAGCGAGGGGATGGTGGGGTCAGTTGAAAAGAAACTAAGCAATTCCCTTCAATCCGTCGAAAAGAAACCAAACACGTCCTTTCTAGTTCGGGTCAATTTCGCCACTATTGTCAATTTTATCCCCTTGCATTTCTTCTGGAACTGATTCAGCTTTATAGGAACCACGGTCCAATTGCCCCACGAAAAGAGGAACAGTGGGGCACAAGTTGAGACCAAGCGACATCGCGAAAAGATTCCAAAAAAAGGGCGACTAACAATTAGGTGCGATAGTGTATTTCCTTTTAATATCTTGTAACATGGTATAGCGAAGCAAAATTTCTATACAAGTGTAAACTTTTCAATGTCCTGTTGGCCGTAGCTTCTACCCGTCTCGAAAGCCAAGGGGAAAAAAAGAACTCTGGCGTGTGTAAAGGAACCTAAGCCACCTAGTAAGGCCAAAAAATGAATTGGCTATACAAGTATTTACAAACTAACATCTATACATTTATAGAAAAACAAAAGAAACCTCTCATTGTTGTGTGGTTGTGCAGTATGAAGCTGCTGTCTCAGTCTTGATCACGCGGGTGTTGTAAGATCCACAATTTCCACACTTGTGATACAACCAATGGAAGCCTGCTGTGCCCTTTCGATCACAATCATTGCACAGAATATCCTGGATTGCCATATGCACTTGATGTAATAAGCAAATTAAACTGAATTTATAACACCTATTTTTCCAAATAATGATAAAATTAGACATAATACCTAAAAAATGTCATTCAACTATTTAAGAAAATTTAAATAATTTTTTTCTTTTTTATTACATTCAATTAATTTTTTACATTTTTATTTTAAGCTAAATAAACCCTTATCATTAATAATTGACTAACGATTATTAATTAAAATATCATTTATCATTAATATCAAGTAACATTGATGTAGTATATTAATGTCATTCTGGATGATGACATGACATGCTTATGGTCATATGACATGACATGCTTATGGTCATATGACATTTCTACCTTCCACATCAATATCATATCATGTTAGTGCCACAAGTGCATAAAATGATAAGAAGTATTTTGATTAATGGCAATTAGTTAATATTAGTCATAAAACCTCATTTGATTTAAAATAAAAATATAAGAATTTGATCAAAAGTAATAAAAGAATAAAGATATATTTGAATTTTTTTGAATAATTCAAAAACTTTTTCAAGCATTATACCATAAAATTATAAGTGATCAATATAAGTAATGCATGGAATAAGGTGAACGGTAGGGTTTTGCAGAGAAGTCATCTTCCACCCTCCACTTTTCCCTTTAAACTTTTTCCATCCATTAATAATTGCAAAATGTGTTTACAGGCAATTCATCAGACAAGATGAATCCCTGCTCCTCTCTCACCCACCATATCAGATAAAGTTGTTGTTTTAAGTAAGATGGAAATATACCTGACAGCGATCCCTATATTCTTCCGGAAGCTCCTCGGCAGCCAACAATGCGTCAAGCATGCCAAAGTAAACCTGGAAGGTTAACAACAGATAATGATTACATAATTATGCTTCACACAGACAAAACTTGTAGTTCATTATAACAGGACAACCATTCCCGTCATCTAAGGATTGGAGCAAAGGGGGAGAAAGTACAAGGCAGTAAAAAAGGGAAATTAAGGAATTTGGATTTTAGATTTAGCTAACTGCTTTGAGTAGAACTTCAAAAATAACATTATATGATTTGTGACTTTACTCCAATCCATGAGTTCATAGTATCATCTATAAAATGTGGATCTAATCCACAAGTTTGCACAACAAATCAAGTCCAAATACACTCTTGCAAAGGCTTCTATTCAAATGTAACTTCTTGCATTTTCTTGCATTTTTGAATCCCTCATCACTATCTTGTACGGAAAAACATGAAATAAAAAAAAAGAACCTTTTCTAAGTTGTAGAAAACTAGGTTGCAAGAAAGTTCTCTTACCGCCATATCTCCCATGGATTTGCTGCAAATCGGACAGGTGTAGTGACTGCAAGTATATGCCTAACACATTACAGGATGTGAGGGTACATAATCATTCTCCAATATTCCTTCAAAGAATAATTATACATAAAGAAACAAGAAACAAAAATGCATACTGAAATATGAGCACAGTAAAGAGAAGACACCTGAAAACAAGCTGAATGCATGTAATGACCACAAGGTAGAGCTCTGACTGTTGCACTTGATGTGAACAGAAAATCACAACAGATAGGGCAGTTGGTTTCTAAACCTTTCTCCAGGCACTTGTGGTTCACTAACTTTATCCCGAGGCAACAATTGCATGTCATGCAATGAAAAAAATCAATGCCAAGTCCTCTCCCAACACGGCATAGATTGCAAAATGGACAATGATACACATTCCTGCAGAAAAGTTTGGCATAGATGAAAGATAACCATCATGTCTGCACTAAAATTAAACCATGCAGCTATTCTTTAGCATTTCCAAATTACTGAAGGCAGTAGAGAAAATCATGTTACAAGTGCCAATCATCATTCTAGACACAAGGTCCTAGAAAAAAAAAAAAGAAACTGTTTTTACTTGCTCTTTATATTCTCCTACTATCAGGATGTAAGTGCAACGCAAGATCCTTGACATTCTATATGAAGGAGGACAAAGGAAAGGACAAGAGAGTGGAAGGAAAAAGAAGCAATATAGAACAGTTTACTAGTTTGCTGAAGTGAAAATGACAAGGGAAACAGGAAGGAACTTGCATCTTTGCTGACTCACAAAACCAATCATTCACCAAATAGAAGAAATACAAGATGAAAAGACTCGACCCACAAACAGATTTATTCTTCCATTTTTTCTCAGATATTTTCACTGTTGTATATCTAGCTTAGCTATCTAGATCACGAGCAGCAAAACTGGAAAGGACGATGATCAACAACAAGTTGAACACCTCTTATTTTCACTTTTCCTATTTGAGTTGTCCCAACTAACAGCCAAAAAGAAATTTGTCCCACCTGAAATGAAACCATAGGAAACAGTCAACATGTCTAAAACTTAAAAGTTTTCCACATCAGCCTTTTTTCAATACCCATTAACAATGGAGCCCACTAAACAGACATTTTAATACCTAACTTTCATATAAATTCCTTCCTTATTTTGACTTCTTAAGCTGAGTAAAAGTCAATTTCTGGAAAAGGAAACAGGAGAGTGGAGTAATTTAACAGTCAGAAAAAGGGGTGCAAATGCAACCTTGATCTGAATCTAAACAAAGAGCCAAAAAAGATGTAAGGCAAAAGATGCAGCAAACAAAAACTAACATTGAAAGTGTTTATAAAGTACAAACACTAAAAAAGGTCATAAAAGCAGGATAAAAATATAAGACTTATAAAGATATGACGTTATATAAGGTTGTAATACCACTATAAAGGAACAATCACTCTAGGATTTTTCAATTTATTTGTCATTGGACACACTAGTGTCAATGTCTTGGCTTACACGTATTAAGCAACTGAGAATTGTAATAATGAGTACAAGCTAGTTATAGATCATCAAAGGAGATATTAAAGATTCATAAACTCATAACTCCAAGTTTCTAAGAGCTTAACGATATAATAGGAGAAAGAGTCCGCACATCTCCAAATTGAATAAATGTGGAGTACAACAATTTAATGACGCTTTCAGGGAAACCCACTAAAATAATAAAAATTTCACAAATG